ATACAATATATATATATATGTATGTATATACATGTATATATATATATATATATATATATGTAAATACATGTGTGTACATATATATATATATAGTAAATACATACGTACATACCTGCATACAAACATACATACATGTTACGCCAGGGTTGTTTGCTTTGCAACAAGATAGTTTCTTGCAGCCTAAACCAAACGCAAACCCTTGATCCTTGAAGCCCCCCTCCAAACATGCAGGGCGGTGAGAGCCAAGGTCCTAAATGCCTGGAAGCTCAGCTATCGTTCCAACTTTACAGAGTCACGCGTAGTTGTCGGGCAAAGCCGCCAAGCTATCCTCAACCCGAAAGGATGGAAACAAAAAAAAACTGTATGCCATCGTATAAGGTATTGTTCTCTCCCACAGGCTTTAGGTTTTCAAGGCTGGCTGTGAGGAGCTTATGGTTCAAGCTCCTGGTCTGAGTGCTTCTTCTCTTTGCAAGGCCCGGTTGTTCTAGCAATTGTTTCCTTTCAAGAAAGTTCTGAGTTTATCTGATGTCATGTGCTTCCAGGACGTCACAGGAATCCCAGAATCCGTCTTCAGGTCCAAACACACTCCGATACAAGGTACTCCTAACTCTGCTCAAAAGAAAATTTCAGGGTCCTAAACCCTCTTTTCTTTCCACCCTGCTAAATTTTTCTGGGAACCAATTTCAGGACCCTAAACCCTGCACCGTTTACAAGCCCATTGCACACAACCAGCCCAGAACTCGCCGATGCCTACTACACCCTAAACCCCAAAGCCCCAAACCCTGAAACCCTAAACCCCAAGACACTGAAACCCTAAACCCTGCAACCCTAAACCCCAAAGTCCAAAACCCAAGACCCCAAGCCCCTATGGTCCGACCTGCATGTCCAAGTTGCGCTGCGTGCCGCATAGGCTAGGAGCAGCAGACACAAGGGAGCAGCCAAGGACCGCCTGGGCTTCTGGGGCCCAGCCATTTTGAGGGTTTAGGGTTTAGGGTTTTCAGGTCTAGGCTTGGTTTGTGCATGCTTTCGGCTTTGGGGTTGTAGGTCTTCTTCGGGATCGACTTTTGCCTCTTTTCTTTTATGTTCTGCAGGCTTGCCGAGTTTTACCCTACAAAGCCTAGGCTCTACTAAGACTGGAAGCAACACGCAGCCATCGGAGGAAACAGGGTTCAACAGTGCCAGCAGCCAACTTCTCAAGTCTCAACCCAGTGAAGGGTTGAGGGTTGAGGGTTTAAGGTTTAGGTTTTAGGGTTTCGGGTGTATGCGGTAAGGTAGTGGTGGGAGACTCTATACACCGCAAGCCAGAGCATAAACCCCAACCCCTAGAGCCCAAGCCCTGAAACCCGAAACTTCGCCCCACGACATTGGGCTGAATCTTCGGCATGTAAATACACATATATACCGCGCACCTGATAGGCAGTAGCTGCAAGAGCACTATATGCCCGAAACCACGAATGTCCTTCTTGATGTGATTTCGCAGGTTTAGGGTTCAGGTACAGTCCTTCTTGATATGATTTAAAGAAGTTTAGCGCTTTGTCCAGGGTTTAGTCCGTCAATCGACCTGGCTATTAATCCCATCAAGGGGAGAAGATAAAAGACCTTATAGGGGCCTTAATAATTGGAATAGGGTTTTGGGGCCCACTATACCATAATTAAAAATAAGGAACCCCCAAAATAGTTTATTAAGGCCCCCAATTAAACCCTAAACTAAACCCTAAACCCTTCAACCCTTAACCCTAAAACCCTAAATCCTTGTACCCTTAAACCCTTAAGCCCTAAACCCTGAAAGACCTTCAACCCAAAACCCTTAAACCCTTAAGCCCTAAACCCTCAAACCCTTAAACCCTAAAGCCCTGAAAGACCTAAACCCTTAAACCCTTAACCCTAAAACCCTAAACCCTAAAACCCTTAAACCCTTAAACCCTTAAACCCCGAAGACCTTAAACCCTTAAGCCCAAAATCCTGAAACACTGAGGGTGATAACCGCTTCACCCTAAACCCTGAAGCCCTTAAACCTTGTGCCCTTAAGCCCTAAGCCCTTAAGCCCTAAACACTTTAAAAACCTTCTTTGATCGCCGAGCTTAATCTTTTAAACCCCAAACCCTAAACCCCTAACTAAACCCTAAAACCCCTAAACACTACAACCCCTAAACTCTAAAAGACCTTCTTTGATCGCCGAGCTGCCCGGAATCCTGAGCCTGCCGGGGGGCCTCCGCGCGCCACGCCGCGCGATGCCCCAAAAGACCTGGTCCGAGCTGTCTTGTCGTTTTTGTTTAGGGCTTAGGGTTTAGGGCTTAGGGGATTGGGTTTAGGGTTTAGG